GCCGAGAGCAGCTCTCACGTCCGCGGGTGTTTCAGCCTCTCCGGCTTGCGAATGCAGCTGAAACGACGACTGCATTCACGCTCGTTTCCAGCAAAGCCATGAAGGGAACGGGAGCCACTCACCCTGCACTCTCCTCCACCATACAATGCTTCTCCTTTCTCCTCCTCCTCTTCCTCTCCTCCTCCTCCTTCTTCTTCCTCCTCTTCCCTCCTTCTTCTTCTCCTCCTCCTCTTCCTCCCCCTCGTCCTCCTTTTCCTCTTCCTCCTCCTCCTCGGCAGCACTCAGGGAGCACAACCACAGCCTGAGAAGGAGAAACTCATTAGGTGAAATCCAAAAAGTATGTCTGAACCTCACAAGAGGAGCACTGCCAGTCTCCACACCCTCTTTGGCCAGAGATGCTCTCCCTCCATCCCCCAGCCAACATCCTGGGGGGGACACGCTCGGGCACACCGGGCAGATGCTGTTTCACAGCCCATTAGTGTCTGCGGCCCCAAGGGGGTGGGAGGAAGAACGGGAAAAAGTTTGGGAACGCAAAACCAGAGTCCTAGAGCCTTCAAATTCCCCTTGCGGCACGGGGAGAGGATGTGCTTAGGAGTCACTTGCTGCTGATTTTGACCAAAACCTCCCTGTTAATGAAATCCACCCTCCAGGGCAGGACGTGCTTTCTGCTGACAGCTTCTCAGGCTCGTGTACTAAGGGGAAAAAAATCTGAAAAATATTTTTTATAACATGCCCAGTGTTTTCTGGCTGAGCAGAAGAGAGCTCTGCTGAGCAAACGTGGCTCTGAGCATCGCTTGTGCTTAGTGCAGTCGAGCATTGCCCATGTCAGAGGTGGGGACCACTGCACTCGCCCTCCCCTGCACGTGTGCTGGGAGTGTTTTGGGGGGCTCCCGAACTCTTTGGGAGTGTGCATGGACACCTCTCATCCCCCTGCTGCAACTCAGCCCGCTCCTGGCTCTGAACGCATTGCCCAGCCCTCGGGAGGACCTCAGCAGGGGTTTCTTTTGGAAGAAGTAGGATGAGTTATATAGAGAAGACTACCATTTCCAAATGTCATGACAGTTGGATGCGCAGTTGATAGGAATGAGGTCCAAACCCTCTTGCCTTCGGGCCAAAATCTACTTACAGGAAACCTAAGCAGAGCATCCTTCAGCTGTCCTCTGCAGGGCAATGTGAAGCATTGCATTCGTGGCTCTGCCACTGCCTGTCCAACCGGAATCGCAACACCAGAAGGAAAGGCTGTTTGCTCAAACACCTTTTGGGTCCTTCTGGTGCCCCCCTCTTTGGAAACGGGCACCTCGGCTGCCCGCTGCCAGCTCCACCACCAGCGCTGGCGAGGAGGGATGCCCAGGGACATGCTTGTCCCCTCCCATGGCCACCATGCTGGTGGCCAGAGAGCACACAGAGCTGCCCATCAACAGCACCTCCCTCCTCCTACCTGTTTTCTTCTTCCTGAGGTTCCTCCTGTATGGGGGGAAGGGGACGAGCATCTGCCACCAGCTCAGTCTCACGACCCCAGGCCATCATCTCGCATGTGGCTTCATTAATCCAGTCATCATCGATCTCTTCCAGGACGAGGTCGGTCTCCTCGGGTTCCCCAGGGACAATATGAACTGAAACAGGAATGGGGAAAGGGAGGTGATGAAGTGAGAGTAGCACATTTTCGAGAGGCCAGGGGTAGGGCCAGGGCAGATTCCATGGTTTAGCTGCATGTTACAACAGCTGCTCGATGCAGAGGTGCTGCCGCATGTCAGGACTGAAGCACATCTCAGCCTGCACAGCCCCGTGCAGCCCCGGTCCCCCCGAGCTCTGCCAGACAGATGCCTTGGGCACTTTTGTCAAAAGGAAGACGAAAATTCACCATTTTGTGCCAAGTGCGTCCAAAGCCCTATGAAAACTACAACCCTTTGCATACAGATGCCTGTTGGCTTCCCTAAGCGCGTAGCAACCTCCACCAGCAGATGATTTGGCCCATCTCCAGGCCACATTTTGGCTCTCTTTGCAAACAGAAGCAGCTGCGGGAAGAGCCCAAAGCCTTTCCCCTTGCGAACCCCAAGCAAAATGCTGCGCTAGCACAGCCCAAGGTTTGCAGAGCAAGACTCAGCCCAGAGCCCGCGTTGGAACGCCCAGAGCACCATGCCATGTCCGCTCCGAACGCTCCCCCGGGCACAGCGTAGGAAGCATCCCGCGTGCCCCGCCACTTCCCACCATGGCTGGGGGAAAACCCGTGGTGGGTTACTGGGGAGGCTGTCGGGCCAGCCGCAAAGTGGAGAGCGCGGGTCTGACCCACGACCAGCCCTCTCCGTGTCCCAGGGGTATCCATCCTACCACGTCAGGCACACACCAGAGAAAGAGGAGGAGGAAGCACATCCGCATACTGTAAAACCAGTTTATTTTGAGGTCTGCCTGACAACAAAACTTACATGTCCGCAGCGAAGCTAATAGGAAACATGCAAATTCAACTACAGAAAGGCAGGAAACCCACCCACGCTTGGCTCCGTGCCGTATTTACCCACCCCACAGTGCCCATGCTGCCTTTAGCCCGTTCCCTCTAGATCTCCATTAATTAAAACGCGTGACACACCACAACTTTTGGATACATTATATGAAAACAGGGCAAATACTAAAATTGTAGCCTGGTACCAGCGGGGTTTGTTATAAACACAGGGGATGGATCTCAGGTTGGTTGCTTGGTTCATGACTCATCGTTACAGCTGCCTAGATCATCCTAAAGAGATGCAATGAGACGGTGGGAGACCTTATCATGGCCTTTCAATATATCAAGGGGGCGTATAAGAAAGATGGAGAAAGACTTTTTACCAAGGCCTGTAGTGACAGGACAAGGGACAATGGTTTTAAACTGAAAGAGCGTAGATTTAGATTGGACATAAGGAAGAAATGTTGTACGATAAGAGTGATGAGACACTGAACAGGTTGCCCAGAGCAGTTGTGGTTGCCCCATCTTTGGAAGTGTTGAAGGTCAGGTTGGATTGGACTTTGAGCAACCTGGCCTAGTGGAAGACGTCCCTGCCCAGGGCAGGGGGGTTGGACCAGATCATCTTCAAAGGTCCCTCCCAACCCAAACCATTCTGCGATTCTAAGGTCTGTACTAAAAACCTGGCGTGTAGGGGCTCTCACCCAATCCAGCCCAGCGTGCCTGCATTGGCTACGCCTGCCCGCACACCTCTGGGCTGGAGACAGCTCCTGAGTTCCTTCCCTGCCGGGACACTCCTGCTGCCATGGTTAGTGCTGCATCTGAAGAGCTGTGAGCTTCAGGAGGGAGGAGCCGTAGTTGGGGGTAAGGAGAGTTTGGGGTAAGTTCTCCTATAAGGAGAGCCCAGGCAAAGGCTTTTAACCATTAACTCCTACCTATTCACCTAGAGATTAACCTCACCCACCTACATTTGCTGCTGCAAACCAGAGCCCTTTCCACTTGCTGGGAGAAAACACTCAGTTAATGGAAGAAAAGCAATAAGAAGCTCATGAGAGCTTAAAGAGCTTTATAACGTTACACCTCAGAGGCAGAAGTCGACTAAAAGAAGCCCGTGGGCTTCAGCTGGAGGTCTCAGAGGTGAATATTTGGATGTTAGGGGGGGTTGAGAGGGCCAGGAGTGCTGGGAGGCTGTAGCCTTTCTGCCTCTGAGGTGTCCTGAGAGATGCTTTTCTACCCTCCTATAAATTATAGCTCCTGTCTCATAGACATCATCCTGCAAAACCAATAGCTCCGGTTCCCGGAGCCAAGAGGGAGCCAGGATGGGACAGCCCTGGGACTGGGGACACGCAGCCAGCATCCCTGTGCCAGCCTCGGGTCCCCGCCGCCCCGGCTGGGAAGGAGCTAGAGACCATTTGCAGATTCCCCTTTGCTTTTCCTCCCCAGCTGTGCTTTCTCCTTGGGTTGGTCTCGTTTGGTTGTGGGAAGGGGTGGCTCACCACAGTCTTCATTTTCCGTTTGTTTCAGAGGCGCTAAGCCCCTTTGCCCCCTGAAACAAAAGGAGAAGGAAAACATTAATGAGCGTGCTGGCAGTTTGGTGCCGGGGCAGATCTCTTGCTCGACCCAATCGCTCCCTTCTTTGGGCAGATTAAGTGACCTTGAGATGCCTCAAGACACCAAAGCGAGCTGTAACGCAAGCCAGCCGCGCACAAAGGGTGCGACTGCCCTGCACATGCAGCAGCATCCCACTGGCTTTGCCTCTTTCCAAGGTCCATGGCAGCGCTCAGGTCTCCAGTTTGTACAAACATGCAGAGAAATGCCTTCCTGCAGGATTTCCCGCTCCGAGATCCCGCCAAGTGGCTGCTGGCTCGGCGGGAGAAACCTCCCAGCATGTCCCTGGAGGGGTGCACAGCCTCCGTGTGCCACAGTGGGTCCCCGCTCCCATCAGTGGCTCCCACGGCCCAACCAACTGCTCCTTCCTGGGGACGGTGCTTGCATGGGGCTGTGTGACATCTCCCCTGCCTGGTCCATCCGTGGAGGCAGCCGTAGCTCCCGGCCGGGCTCCCCATTTTGCTCAGCATCCCACAACGTGGCTGGTGGGGGGAGCCAAGCCCGTCTGCCCACAGAGCCGGCACTTGTTCCCCTCCATGGGCAGGCAAGCATCAGTGTGAACCCCGCAATGTTTTCCTACAACCATGCAGATTCACATCTAACACATCTAAGCCCAGGATTTTGTTTTCCTGAGGTACCTCCCTAGACATCTCCAACCAGGCTCGGCAAACACCCTCCGGCTTGGCAGCAAACATGCCAAAGGGGGCAGGTTTGAATTCCCTTGTAATCCTTTGACCGAATCCCACCAGCTTGGCAAACATCCTCCGGCACAGCTCGAGGACAGACCTTGATATCAGCACTAACCTCAAAACCTGGGACCTGAGGATGTGGGATGCTGCACTCCGAGACTCCCACGGCCTGAGTTTTACCAAGCCCGTGCCACAACTCTGGATCTGCTCCCGTTTCTCAAGCGGCAACAGCCTCTCATGGCTTCCCTGGGGGATTTCAGGGGCTCCTGAGCCGGCACCCACGGCAGACCAGGGGATAAAAGCTGCCAGCGGCCCCTCTTCCCAATAACCTTTCTGACCTCGGCAAGCTAACCGGCATGGTGAGATGGAGCAACCACTTACTTTCTTCCATGGGACTCGAGGTTGCTGCGGCCACTCCCTGCCAGGAGGAAAAGGGAAACATGAGACATTGCCCATTTTCAGTAAACCTAAGTTTTTACCCTAAATGCCCCATTTTCAGTAAACGTGACCCTTTTACCCTAAATACCCCATGTGATTTCTCAGGGCACGTTGGATGGCTTGGCTGTGGGCACAAACATCCCCACGCACGATGGTAAAGGGCAGGAGCACATCAGTGAGCTCGCCTGGGTGCAAGGGAAGGAAAGGAGAGCGTGTAAAGCTGCTGCTGCTTCTCCTTAGAGCTGGACCGCAGCTGGGTGAGGTGCCAGGGCCTGGACACCAGCCGGTGCTGCACAGAAAGGCAAGGAAATGGTAAAGAGAGCACACGCTACGGGCTCTCTTGCTGCTTAGAAGCCAAATCCTGGTTTTCATCAGCTAAGCAGGTCGTGGGTTTTGTTTTCCTGAAGGAGCTGGGTGACAGCCCAAACCATGGCAGGTCCCGGCACTGATCTGGTGGCATCTGCGTGGCAGGGGATGCCCTCCCCGCTGGGGGCATGGTGTTCGCATGCCCTTTGCCTATCTAGCAGACAGCGTACCTGTGCGCCCTGCTTCTCCCTGGTCACCGGCTGCGGCATCACCTTCTCCAGCCCCTGGACCAACCAGGCAAACATCCTGGTGACCAGAAACCACTGTTAGACCCAGCTGCCGGAGCCTTTGCTCCCACAGCAGCCGTCCCTCTGGCCACTGTACCCATGCAGAAGTTGCCGCCATGGTTACCTGCTGCCGTCCCCAGCCAGGGACCGAGGGGTGAGGATGGCCACCGGCTCTGGCTGCCCCTCGGCTGCTGCCGGCTCCACTGCTCCTGGGATGCTCTGGGCGGCTGAAACGCTGCTTGGCTTTGCCTGGGTTTTAGTCCCTTTTGTGCCTGCTCAGGTTTATTCAAAAGGAGAAGGGGGATAGGCAATGCAGCAGTCATAAATTGTTGGGGAAGAGGAGCAAGCAAGGAAGGGTCACCTCCTACAGAGGGACAGGCTTGGGGGGCCTCCCTGGCAGCCTCTCCCCCGGGGACCCAGCCTGGGATGAGGACAGGGGTGGTTTGGGGACAGACGTGGTTTAGGGGCAGCGTCGTGATGCCAGGACCCGGCGTGCCCACCCCTCTTGACACAGTTGGTACCCCGGGGCATGGGGATGGAGGGCAGCCCCAGCGCTGGTGCCTGCCTGCACCCGAGTTCTCGAAGGCTGCGTGTCCCCTCTGAAACAGCCACCCAGGGAAGGGGGATCGCTCACCTCCCAACGCGGCTTCACACTTCTGCTCCTTTGGCTTCGGCTGCAGAGGGATGGATGGACATGGCAAAGCACTGTCTGCGGCCCCACATCACCCTGGGCGGGCATGTCCCCCACCCCAAGGGGACTCACACGCACGGCCTCACACACCCTCCACTGCGGTTTTGGCCCCATTTCATTGACAAGGACCATTAAACCCAGACCCTGGCGTTGCTGGCACCAGCGGGTCCCGAATGGAGGGTCCCCCCAGTGTGCGGCCAAGTCGGGGAGCACTGGAACAGCACCCCGAGGTCTCTCTTTTGCTCTGATGAATTCCCCTGGGGTTTTCCTCCCCAGGGTCCCAGCCGGGGCATGCAGGAGGATGAGGATGGGGAGCCCACTCCGCTGTCACCTCTGCCCAGCAGCCCCCTGGTCTCCCCCAGCCAGGCGGTGCTCACCTCTGGCTTTTTCAGAATCTCTGGCTGCGGCACCACCCTCTCGAAGCCCTGCACCAGCCAGCTGAGCACCCGCGCTCCTGCCCTGCGGGGAGAGTGCACCACGGTCGGGGAGCTCATTCTGCACCCCTCCTGCCCTCCCGCATCCCCCCACCAGCCTCTCTGGGGACCCACCACTCCTTCGTGCCAGCATCTGAGCCAGCCTCGGGCTCGCAGCCGTCCAGCTCGTCCTCCTCCGGATCGAAGGGGGTTATCTCTGCAAGGAGAGCGGTGCTGTGGGGATGGGAGAGAGCCAGGACCTGCACTGCTGGGAGCTCCCGGTCCCCCCATCAGCCAGCTCAAGGGGACAAAAGCACCAGCATCACCAACCGGGGAGCTGGGATGTGGGAGTCCCAGAAAGGCCCCTGGGATGCTGCAAGCTGCAGGCTCCCAGCTCTCCTTACCCAGAGCATCCTCTTCCTCGTCCCTGAGGATCTGGACCTCCGTCTGAAAAGCCAAACAGACCGTCACCCACCCGGCAGCTGAGGTGGGGCTCATCCTGCCGGGCGGGGAGGGAAACCTGCCCTTTCCCCAGGGGTGGATGAAGGCAGAAGCCTGTGCTGGGCAGGTTTAGTGCTCCTAGTTAGCACTGGGAGAGTGATAGGAAGGAAAAAGAAGAAGAAGAAAAAGGTAAAAAGAGCTAGAAGCCCAAATAAGCCAGACCATTGCCCAGATCTGTCACCTACCTGATCGGGAACGTCGATGCTTGTCTCAAAGCTCTTCCCAAGCGCCTGCAGTGTCCCCGGGGCCGGGACTGGCTGGGGAATCACCTTCTCCAACCCCTGGGAGAGCCAGGAGAGCACACTGCTCCCCACGCTGCCAGGGAAGGGGGTGGGTCAGGCTGGGATCCCCCATCCCAGGCATCCAGCCCCTGACTGAAAGCAAAATCCCAAGCAAACCATATTGCACACTGGAGGGTGCAAGAGCAATACCTCTCAAACACAGAGCCTGGGTCCTCGGGGACCGCAAATCCCACCTTCTTTTCCATTTCTTCAATGGCAGCAGGAAAAAAAAACAAAAGCAAGCTCCCATCACCGCTCCACCAGCCCCTGGCACGCCAGGCAGGAGGGGTACCAGCTGGTAAAGGAATGCTGATCCGCGGCCCGCACCAGCGTGTCCCCCCGCCACGGAGGCTTACCTTCTGTGCGTGCATGGTCAGCAGCATCCCCAGGGCCACTGGCCTTTCCTGTCGGTGCCTTCAGGGTAAAAGGCAGAAGGTGTCAGAGTCAGGCGCAGGGGACAGTGTCCCCCGCTCAAAGGTGGCTGCAAACCCAAGGGATTCCCCATCCTTCCTGCTGCCTCCCAGCAGCTCAGAGGGGGAATGCATCCTGGACCCCATCCCTCCCAGGGATGCTGTGGAGCATCCCTGGGTGTCGCAGTGCCAGACGCAGAGGCATCGGGCATCTCTCCACCATGCTCACGGGGTCCCCGGTACCTCCCAAGCTGGCTCTCCGCTCACCTTAGCTGGCTCCAGGTCCTGCACTGGGGCCGGGGGGGTCTTCTCCGTCAGATGGGGCACTGGGGGCTGGGGAACCACCCGCTCGATCCAGCCCAGCATCCTGCCGCCTGCAGGTAGCGAGGAGGGGTCTCCAGCCGGCAAGAGGCCAGCAGCAGTGGTGCACGTTCCCCGGGGAATACCGGGTACACCAGCTGCTCACGCTGTCCCCAGAGCAGCCCAAAAAGGTCCTTGGCGTCCTTCCGTCTCCACGTCCTGCTTGGGAAACACGGCACTACAGCACAGCCAGACCAAACCCGGCTCAACCCCTGACCCCTAACCATTACCAGGAGCAAACTATGCCCTGTATTTTAAGCTCGCAGGCTCAGTTAAACTTGATTTTCCTAAATGTAACTGCTCATTTAGGATTTTTTTGCACAACCCTCCACAGCTAGGGTTGTGCAAGGAGAAGCAGATAGATCACAGAAACTGTGATGCTCTGCTCAGGGTCCTCTACGCTCTCCCTCATTTTTCATGAGGGATGAATATCAACAGTCATTTGAGCAGAGTTTGTTTATGGACAAGTTCACACCCCAACACACGTACCAACTCGTTCTGCCCCTAGGAAACAACTCTGCTCCATCACCTTTCAGCCACAGCCCAAGGCCATGGTGGCCGCTGGGGCAAGCACTTGCCTGGGGCCCTGGGAAGGGCAGCAAAGGCAGCCAGCGCTGACTTGCTGTGGCTGCCGAGATGTTGATGGGGTAGGTAAAAATAAGATGTTGCAGAGCAGGGATTCAGCTGTTCAAGGTGTTTGCTCGGTCTTTTTGGGTCCCCCGTCCATTCTCCATGTGACTCCAGGCTGGGATGCAGCACCAGCGACCCAAGCGATGCTGCACGTTCCCATGCTTGGGTACAGGACAAGGGCTGGGGGCTCTCGCCCAGCTCAAACTGGGGATGTCTTCTGCTGTTGCCCTTCCAAAGAGCCCTGCTGTGCCCAAAATGCCCTTCCAAAGACACCCCACTCTGCTCAATGAGGGGCTCAGGAGCATCTCGGGTGGCCCCCACGCTGCTGCTCGCAGGAGACACCCAAGAAGGGCAAGAAAAAGCAGATCCCTGAGCTCCATTTAGCCCAGCCAGGAGACTGCAAGGGAGTTTTGATTCCAGGTTTACACATGACCCCAGTCCCATATAGGCAGCAGGTTATAGGCTGGAAGCCACTCAGCTTTCGGGCAGGCAGAACACCTTCAAATCTCTCAAGGTGGTTCATCGGGGGCTGTCCAAAGCCTGGCATCTTAAATCTTAATGAGCCGAGGTTCCCGGGTGAGGTAACATGCGTCCTCAGCAATTTGCTTGCCCCCGCCTTCTGCAAGCCTGGGAGCCAGGTTTGGATGTGGCCGAAGCATCACCCCACACGGCACCTGCAGCCTCTGGCACACCATGGGCAGGCTCAGCTCTCCCAGAGACCCCCATGTTCCCAAAGCAGGACACGGTGGCTGTAAAACAACCCCCAGGAGGCCTGATGACCAGAAACCAATTAAGAAATTGCCTTTTACTTCCCACTGGGTATAAGGGATTAAGGAGCTGAGAATGCCCCAGGAACAGCAAGGAAAACCTGGTGGTGCTGTGCAGCACAGTGGCATTTCCACCATTCACAGGTCCCAAATAAACCCAGGGCCAACGTACACCTCTGAGCCCAGAGAAAGCCCCCCGGGGCTGGAGAGAGCCTCCCGCGACAGCCAAGGTCTCTGCCTCCCTCAGCATAAGCTTGTGCAGCTGTAAAAGCCTGGAACTTTAAGCCTGTCCTTGACCTGGGAAGGAAAGCGGAGGGCTGGGGCCATTCCTCTGACACATCGAACAAGAGAGGGGCAGAAACTTTTGTGGATCCCCAAAAAAGTAGTTGCTGGAAGAAATAGGAATAAGCAGCCAAGATTTGGCTGCGATGGCACCGAAGAGCGGGCAGCCACGTGCATTCCCCCCATGCTGCAGGCACCGGCCGGTGCCACCACCCGTCATGCCAGCTCTGTGGGGCTTGCGCCAGCGGGTGAAGGGCCCCAGTCTCCGAGAGCAAGCAGCAGGGTGCAGATCTGCCATCCCCATTTGGAACAGGGAGCACCGTGGTCTTTCCCTCCCCTCCAGAATCAGATCAAACCCCTCCACATTACCCAGCTCTGTTGCCCTTGCAGCATCGCTCCCCCGCTATGGACATGCACCCCTGCTGCAGCTCATCCTCAAGGTCCATTTCAGAGCACCAAACCCCACCACGATGTGCGGAGGTGGCCCCACAGAAACCCCAGCCGCGTCCCTCGCCTCCATCGCTGCCACTTACCCCCACACGCTCACCACCGCCTCCCCGGGAAGCCACCCCTGGGATGTGCGGGCTCGCTTGACCACCGCAGCTCGCCACTGAGCCCCCAAACATACCCCAATCCGCTCAGGGCTCTGCAAGGATTAGCCCAGCACTGCCCACAAATGGGATTACCGACACCCAGCTGTCCCGAATGCTGCAGCTCCCAGCAGCCAGCCCGGTTTTGGTGTGGGATAGTGCAAAGAAAACCCTCAAATCAAGCAGGTTTGAGCATCCTCAAAATCCCTGGAGCCTCCAAAGCTACCTCAGGCACTCACCAACCAGGTGCGAGCCCGGCAGTGCTGTGGGGAAGGCTGTCGTCTCGCCCAGGCGCAGGTGGGTGCAGGGATGCGCAGACGAGCAGCAGTGGGGCTGCTAAAACCCTGTGAGGTGATGCAAGGGTGATGTGCCCAAGGATGCTCGACCCCTGGCTCTGCCCCAACCCTGAAGGATCTGGGGCAGGAGGCAGCAAAGCTGTGCCAGGCTGAGCTAAGCCTCCCCTTGCTGAGCCTGCCAGTTGCTGCTTGATCCGTTTACCTCCGGGCCTGCGTGACTGCCGGCCTTTCCCATTGCACCTAATCTCGGCCACAGTCACACCCCGGAATCCTGGTATCGGCACGGCTTCGCTGCTCGATGTCCAGCCCCAGCTTCTGTCTTTGGCCAGAGTTCCCTGGAGCAGCGCTGGAGCCCCCTGGCCCGATTCTTCCTTCCCCGGCCCCACGGGTGTCCCCAGCCTGGCAAGCAACAGGTACCCATCCTGCCTGGCCCCAGCCCAGCACCTCTGAAGGTTTGGTTCACAGCTAGGGAAACTGAGGCACAGAGCAGCGGTCTCCCAAATCGCACCTCATTCCCCACTTGCTGGGCCTGGGGAAGCTGACCGAAAGGTGTCCCTGTATTTCTGAGATACCGTTCACTCTGAAGTGGAGTGATGACTGCTTACAGCTCAGCATTGGCCACTGATTTTAATGGCAAAAACATGAACCAAAGGTGCTTGCCGCATTGTCCCAGGCCTTGTGACTACGAAAGCCATTACTCAGCCTCAGATCTCCTCACTTTGCTCCCCGTGACTCCGTCCAGCAGAGCTGTCCCTGCCCCAGCAGGAACCGGCAGCAAACCCTCCATGGTGGCCAGGAGAGGAGCGCAGGGCTCCCATCCCAGGCCAGGCAGCCCCGATCATCCCAGTTTCCCCTTCCTTGGGGTGGGCTCAGACCCCCAGCCCACGGCTGGCACAGCACCTGCTCGCAAACCTCCAGCCCCCACAACGCAATGGGATCAGGGTTGCCCTGGCACATCCCTTCACCTCCCCAGCCGCTCGCTCTACCTCCAGCCCTGGCACAGCCCCTGGCCGGTGGTGCCAAGGGGCTAGGCAAGCTGCGTCCCCGAACACACCAAAGCACTGTATGCATATGCCATCGTCACACGGAGCAGATGGGCCACTGCCACTCCTCCCCTGGCCCAGCCTGCACTGGGAAGCAGGATGAGCCTGGAGATGGCCACCACCGGGATGCTGCCTCCATCACCAGGCTGCAGGGGCTGGGGAGTGCTGAGTGCCGGGGCAGGAGATGCTCCAGCACCCCAAAAAAAAAAAAAATCTCAGTTCAATCTGTCGGCAACTTCAGCTGCCCCAAATGCACGCCTCCACGCAGGGAGGCAAACCCTCTGCTCCCTGTTGCGGGATGGATGCTGACCCCTGTGCCAGGGCTGGGGGTGGCAGGGGAGCCTCGGCTCTGAAAGCAGGGCAAGGGGGCTGCTGCATAATGCCTTGAAAACCCTGGATCACCAGGAAAAACCACCCCTGTGAAGGGAGCAAGCTGTGGTGGGCCCAACAGCAAGATACTGGGGAGCAGCAGTGGCTCCTGGAGAGGCGCAGCATTAAATCGACTTGTTGCCCTTGCAGCAGGATCAGCAGCACAGGCCCGAATCCTGCACCCCTTGGGGCACAGCCTGGCCCAGGTCCCACCTCGCAGGAGGCTGCCCAGGTCCCACCCGAGAAGACGGTGCTGCCTGAAAGACCAAAACAATGCAGGGACAGTTTCAAGAGGACTTTTGCAGGCTCAAGCTTGTGAAATCCTGCAGTGAGGGGTCCAAAAAAAAAAAGCAGCATCTGCTGATGGCTAAACCTGCATCTCCTCCAAGGACATTCTGGAGACACTTCGTCTTCAAGCCAGACCTGTCTACAAAGGTCTTCGACATATTTCTGCAAGTGAATGCCCAGGAGGAACCCCCGGGAGGAAGAGGAAGGTTCTACTCCTCACCTGGGTGACGCTGCCAGCACTCCTGGCGTGTGTGCTGGAGAACTACTTTCCATCCACTTCTGCTGTCCTTTCATTTGCATCCTTAGCTTTTACGTTCGTGGGGTAAGGCAAGAGGGATCGGCGACAATGCCTGCATGGAAAACAGCTGCCAAGTAGGTAAGGTCTTCTGGAAAAGCAACCAGACCTTAAGGGGCTCTTAATAAGGTGCCGAGAGGATGCTGCTCCCACCAACCGCTCCTGGTCCTCCCCCAGCCTGGGGCTCTGGCACATGCAAAAATTACACAGCTTTGCTGTGATTTAGGGAAATCAAAGACGAGAAAGTAAAGCCCATATAAAGCACCGGTGGTGCCGATGCAGTTTGCTTGCCTGCCCTGAGGATACGGAGTATTTCCTCAAACCACAAAGTTCAAACACGGGCACAGTTTAGGACTATCGGCTGCAGTTTAACTTTTCATCTTCCCACGGAAATCATCCAGCCAGGAATAAGAAATTAGGGCAGCTGTGAAAGGTATCACCCTTCT